TTAAGGACGTATCAACGAGAGATCGGCGCGAAATTTCGTCCACGTGATCTCTGTTCCATTCGAGTCTGTTCCATCCCGGTAGTGTGCATCTCTCGCTGGCGATCAGAGAGAAAGATGAGCAACGAAAAATTGTTTTATCGATGCTACGAGCACTTGAAGATAACGCGTGCGCTTATACGCTCGCTTTTACGAGCATGGGTCGTAAAACTTTTTCCTTCTTTTTTTATTGCGTCGTAAACTCTCGATCGAGTTGATTTCGAGATCGAGGCAGAAGATATGACAAATGTACCTACCTCAATGCTTCTATCGCGACGTCAGAATTAAACGTTTCTGCCTGACAGTTTCGCTTCTCTTCATTTTCGAAAGTATGCGTATTTACGAGGCAAAGCGAACGCGATCTCGCAATTGCTCCTTTTATTGCCTTTTACAGCACTCGTCGAGCTGTTCCGGAATCCGATAGTTCTGCCAAAACGAGTCGAAATCAATCTTCCACGCTTTCATCTCATCTTCATGCTATCCGGCACGCCGGTCATCTGTCACGATCGCCTTTGTTTCGCCGGACAGCGATTTGATTCACGGCGCGAACGCAATGCGTTAAAAATCTCTTGGAGAAAGCCGCTGGTAAATCATTCAAGGCGAACCCTTGAACGTGATTGTTCATCTCGAGATTAGTGCTTCCTCGAATAGGTACCAGCGAAAGCTATTAATCACTCCTAGTACTCTAATTATGCTCTTCTTTCGCTGTTTGAATTTTTCTTCAGTTCCGTTCGAACGCGTATTCGCCGTGGTCTCAGATTAGACGATCTGACGATCTTAGGCTGGGTTGAAACGGATGAAAATTCTTGGCGAAAGTGAAGTCGGCTGGAGAAAAAAGGGTGGGAAATAATGAGGCTAGCGAGAGAGAGAGAGAGGGAGGGACGGAGGCACTCGGCGAAATGCGCGCGAGCTCGCGATTACCCCTCTCGGCTTCAAGAAGATGACATACTGTGCCAAGGGCCGACACTGACAGCGAACGAGTGTTTGCCCGGCGCACCCTAATTGTCGAGCCGCCACACCCTCGGCAAACACTGTCCATCAACCTTCTACCATCTAGCCACCACCTCTCTATCGGCCCCTACCACTCGACCCTTTTCCACCGGGACCAGATATACGCATGTACGTACATAGGGGGCTGAATCACGTAACTCGCACACCTGAAATAATTATTAAATTATGCTGATTAATGAAAGATTGTTCAATACAAAAGTATTGATAGTGGTTTCAACGGAAGTTTCGAAGGTCATCTTTATTTTTTTTTCAATTAGATCATATACTTGTCTTCATCATAAGTCGAAAGAATATCAGTTAACATTTCAAGTGAAAGGAGATATTTTACGATAATCTCTGTCGAGGATGAAAACTGTTAGTCACATTCAGGCAGTAGAAATTTTCTGTTTGAAAGTTAATTCGTGTGTGCCAACTTACATACGTGATTCACCCTGTATCGCAGTGTGGCGTCCTTGCAGCACGTGAACTTTACGATTAGGAACGGAGAGTTGCCTAATTGCTGACATTAGCCGCGGGATCACGTCTCGCGTTGCCCCCTCGCTACTTCATTTCCGCTTCGATCGTACGTGTGTTTGCGGATCATAATCGTTTCGCTGGCCTCACTCTCCTTCAAAGCTCAATGCTTTACGTTCAACGTTTTCGACAAACTTCCCGGCTTTTAGCTTCTTGACATTGGAACTACCAAAGTGATTGAGATGACCAATTTATCATTCTTGTTGGATATTTCATTGACGTGAAACAGCGTATTTTTAAATATTTAAATAATTTTTCGTAAAATATAAAAATAGCTATACATACAATAAATATACAAATAGCTCTAATAAAAGCTCGTAGTCCATTATACGATGTAGTTCCTCTATTTTTTTGACTTGAATGTCTCTGACAGAAATTTTATGCTTCAATCGTCGATAGTTCAAGTGTGCCGGCTGGTTGGATAATAAATAATAAATAAAAAAATTGGAGAAAGCAATTGGAAGGTAATGAGCACAAGTGTGTACCAATGACAACAAAAAATTTTAACTGATTTCACGTAAGAGTAATTATGTAAGGATCATTTCAAATCTTGAAGTTTCTACTTTGACAGTCGTGAGCTCGTTTCGCGGGTGAAGAAGTGAAGATGCTTTTTTGTCCCGAGAATTGTCAAAATTCAAACATATTCATTCATATTATGATATTGAAAATTGAAGTTTCTTCTTTACGACGATTCCTTAAAACTTGTTGTACGATTTTTCTTCGTGGAATTTGAAAAATTCAAAGAAATTCAAACACTTCGTCATCGTTCCAAGTTTAATAAAATGGTGAAATCGTGCAGCAAGTTGTGAAGAAGAGACTTCGATCTTCAAGAAAATGGTAGCTTTGTGTGACCGAAAAGAATTTTCTTTGAATTTTTACAATTTTCTTCAGTTCCTTTCGGCTGCTTTATGCTTTCAAATGAATCTCTTGTATGATCTCTTTACGAAGAATTCTATCTAAATTATTGACAATTCTTCATTGTCACTGGTAATAGTCAATTGTAATACGATCAGAATCAATGAACTCTACCTCCGAATCAAATCGTATTCTACTTTCAGTTTAATGCACGTTCTTTCTAAAAATATTTTCGCGCGCGCCGATCTAAAAGTGTCAACAATTTGACTGAGGATTGTAAAAATCGAAGATGAAACGATCGTTAAAAATTACATCCATCAACCACTGACATACCGTTTCGCGGTTGCACGATGCTTCTCGTTCTGAACGGAATAATCGAAGGGACGATGGTAAACCGGCGCAACAAGCAATTACACCGTAATCACGATTGCTTGGAGCAGCGGTTTTGTCTCGAGGATTCCGGGGCTTGTAAGAAGAAAAGCTTGCGCGATCCCGAAGAACAATGTCCCGCTGCCAAGGAGGTATAGGTACAAGTATAAAGGTTAATATCACCTTTGAACAGACCCCGGGCTGTAGGAAGATGGTATTGTTTTCCGCTCACGCTTGATCTTCGCGTGTTGCACCAACGGGTATTCTTTCCCTGTCCCGCGATCCAATGGCCAGCATAAAGAGTAGTAGAGCCTCTTAACGAGAGGTTTAGGTTAGGTTTCCACGATCGAACAATGAACGGCTACCGAAGCCGTTAATTACTACCCTCGTTCTTCCCGCGATCGTCCCAATTTCAACTGGACCTCCCCTCCCCCTTTCCGTATTCATCCACATTGTTTCGCGCGTGTTTCTCCATTAATCCTTGACTGCCGCGTTTTCTGCCTCTCGTGGAAAATTGCTCGCTATCTGAGAGAAATATTGACAAATATCTACTAACTCGGCCAGGCTCACTCGAAACCCCCGAGGAAAGTTAAGGAGAATTTGAAATTCTCGAAACTCGGATAGGAAGAATTGTAAAATCGATGGATGATGAGTCAAGTATGGAATAGTTTGTTCATCCGGTATCTCGACGTTCCGCGGACGCGATTTTTGTTCTTGAAAGATGCAAGCAGC